GTACAATTAATCCATAACTCAGTACACATTATATAATTTTCTTTTTTTTTTTCAAATACTCGACTTTCTATAATACAACCTGCACTGACACTTACAGTGCGTAGAAACAGGATCCTGCACATGGAAATGTGTCTTCCCCAAAGCTGGTGCTCTTCCAATTGTCTCAGGAATGGTACATTCCACACTTGTTTACCAATATGAATTATTCAAGAGCCCCATTCTAAATGTCCAGAGTCTAATCACCCTCCAAGAGCTTTGTACCCTTGCGGCAAGTCATTGCCATCAACCCAGCTTTCAGATGAAGTTTTCATGATAGTATGTTCCCTTCTTCCCAGACCTTAGCCAAATTTTTCCCTGTTCACATCACCTGGCCCTCTAGCCACATTTTCTCATGATGTGATGGTCAGGTCATCCCAATCCAAGAAGTGCACGTATACATACCCTAGCCATTATAGTTTTATTCCATCAGCCCATTGCCAATAGAGATGGCATGTGTGTGTAACTGCCATGCCCACTGCAGGTTTAGTTAATTAGTTGTGCTTACACATAGATGGCTCCATGAGTGCTTGGTCACAAAGGAGTTAATCACAAAGTCAATAATCTCACCTATTTACCATTTTCTTTGATTTTCAGAAATATTCTTTGTATCTTACATTACCATTATTATTGTTCATTAGATTATAATAATCATAATGCTGATAAGAATAAGATCAGTATCAGTATCAACAGCCTTGGAAAGAAAGCTAGAAAGAAAGAAAAAAGAGAATGGAAGAGAAAAAGAAAGAAAGAAAAAGAATCCCACAGGCTCATGCAAAGGGGAAGACAAGGGAGGTCATGCAGGTCTACTAATTCACTCCTTGGTGGCTGAGCACTTGTGGAGCTCTCTATGTGTAAACACTTCACAAAACAAAACTAAAATGGGTATTACATGTTCCTGGCAGCAATGGGTTGAAGCTATTTACACATGAATGGTTTCAGTAATACTTGTTGCCCAAAGAATCAATTAGTAGACCTTTGACATCTTTTCTGGTGGCAAGTAGGGTATCGCGCAACGCGACGCGACACAAAAAGCTGTCTCAGGCCTCTGAGCTTTGCCCACTTCTGTGATGTAATGGGAATGACTGTGGTTGACGGCTTGCTATTTTACTGTACTGGTTATTTTTCCAACAGGTACACAGTATTTTGGAATATGATATCCAAGATGGCTTTTGATATCTTATGGTGGGTAGTGCAGTGATATAGATGTCCAATATACGTACTAATATGCATGAAATATCCAAAGTAGGTGGAACGCAACCGGCAACTCGATAAATGTTTACTGCCTGCTCGATTCCTGTCACACAAGAGGTGTCATGTTTCCTGTAATGGCTGGTAAAGATGGCTATAATCTCTCCATCTTCATTATCCTTACCATTGTTATTAACATTCCAATGATAATATATAATGATAACAATAGTAATAATCATAAAAATATTCCCAAAAATTCAAGGAATGGGGTAAACAGGAGATGTACGGTATGGCTAGTAACTGACTCCTTCGCACATAAGAAGCAATCAATGTGTAAACAAAATCAAAAAAATTAAACAAGTGGATAGTGCATGTACCTTGCATTAACAGATTACAATAATAGATTTTCTCCTCCCTGTCATTAATTACATGCAAACTTACACTTATGCCAGCAGCTTTCTTGATAATTTGTCTATAATTACTGATTTAATCACACTATCTATACCGACTGTATCACTAATCTGAACTAATCTGAAATATTCTAAAATGATTCATCTTGCAATACAATATACCTTTTTAGATACCTTACCTGTACAAAAAAAAAAAAAAAAGTTTCCTCCAGAGGACTTTTCTAAAAGCTCTGAATCCAATTATATCAAGATGTAGAAACCATACTTCTGGACACTGAATCAGCAGGCTTCCAAAGCCATAAGAAGCTACTTTAGCTTATTTCAAATTCCTAATTTGGTTTACCCTGATATTACTAGCACTTAGTAACAGAAAATCATAAGCACAAGAATAGCACCAAAATAAGAACACTAACAGAGCAGCTCACCTAATATACAAAATCTTTATTTCTTCACTCTCCTTAATAATTCAAATAACATCAACGAAGAGATGGAGCAAAGTCAACATACAGATGGGGTAAAAAATAAAAAGTCAAGACACGCAAATGCTCCTTACAGTTTTCTGACTGATATTTCACTTTCTGAAACATACATTCTGCAACTTTCTGGAGTCTAGTTTACAACTTCCGTGTGGACAAATTACAGACATGCCCAACTCTAGTTTACAATTTCTGTGTGAACAAATAACGGGCATGTCCAACTGCTGACTAACAAAAGCCACTAGCAATTAGCCCATTCTAGAAGCGCATACCTTGGGTGCAAGACTGGCAGCACTAGAGTTGTTGGTGATAGTGGTGGGGGTGGCAGGTAAACTTGCCGTGGAAGAAGGTCGCTGGCCGGCCGGACTTTGAGCCTCCTGAATCTGCCAAGACAAGTGAGTGGTGAAGAAAAGTGCAGGAAATTCTGTTTGCTTTTACTTTGCCCGCATTCTTTTTGACTCGATGGGCTGTGATGAGAGCAATCAGTGCACAGGATGCAGTGACAAGGGTTTCTTATTACAACCAATAGTTTTAATGGAAACCTATTTAATATTTCTCAACTTATAGAACATGGAGACTATTACACAAAAAAGTGAGATAAACTTTTTATCTTACAATTTCTATCGATACTACTTCCTCTCTCAAAGCTCATTCTACCCTAAAAGCATCTAGAATAAATTTCTTTTTACACATGTTGCAATCATTAATGTTAAGAGACAATCTTTCAGTGAATGCTGCAGCTTCATAAAAATATATACATATCAAATACATAATGATATCTCATCAAGAAACTCTTATTAACATGGAGAAAATATGTTTTCTTAACTTTCGTATCTTCAGTAACATTCTTGATCATAAATATTGGTTGTGGTTAATTCTTATCTTTTTATCTTTTTGAGTGCAAGTGACATATTTGTTATCCAGTTTTCCCATACTATCATGCAGTCAGTGGGTGTGTGTGGGTGTTATTCAAGTGTGCAGAGAATAGTGAGTTCATGCTGGCCTCTTTCCGAGAAGTTCCACCTATTTCTCCCAATAAGAGAAAAGCAGATTAAATAAAATATTAGCTAAATAACAAAAAATATGCATGGGGATTTGAGTGTGTTCCATTTCTGATCATCCCTCTTTGGTCAAAGAAAAATAATTTGAATAAATCATAACCCTTTAATCCTATTCACTCTGCAAATTTTCAATTTAAAAATTACAAGCACTGGGAGTACTGAACAAAAAAGAAACTTTGGAGGAAATTCTGTCCTTTATTGTGTCATCTCTTTCCATCATATCAACAAAGCAGTGTCCTGACTGCCACTGCTGTTGCAGCAGCTGGCAAATAACTAAGAAAATCCTAAATATACTACATAGATGGAAAAAAATGCAAAGGAAGTCAAGAACAGCTACTGGCCATTGAGGGGGAGAGGGGATGAAATACTGAGGAGGGAGGGGGAATATTTTGCTTAAGATGGTCTTGCCTTTACTCGGAACTACTACATCCTTGGTATCTTTCCTCAACATAGGCAAATGAGGACAGGGAGAGAAAGGGCAAGTGGGGGAGAAGGGGGAGAGGGGGAGAGAAGGGGGAGAGAAGGGGAGAGAAGGACATCTTGGTCAGAAGGAACTGTAATAAAACTGGAGAAAGAGATTAAATCAAACTAGAGGAACCAAAGAAAATAACACATATAACTGATAGGGACACGATGCTTTAATAATAAAAAAATCATTACCCCAAAAAAACAAAGATGACAGTGATTTAAGAATAAAAATAAAAGGACAAACAGATCAATGAATGACAACTATTTGGTTTATCATATCATGACCAAAGGATGATTCAGAATGAAGATTAACCTCTACAGCAATCAAGATGGTCATACATAAATATACACAGCTTGCATGTGTGTGTGTGTGGGGGGGTCTTTTTCTCTCTATCCCACTCTTTCTTTTCAAGAATAAAGTCAATTACTTAACTTCAACTCACTAATCCCAGAGATAAATTTTAATCTGCATGCTTCTATAGCTAGTACTTGCGTTTCGGCTTACAAATCCCTTTAGGGTTCTCCTTGGTACAATCTCTTTTCTAAAAAGCTAAATGCTCTATTTAGAGATATGGACACAAGTCACTAAAACAGAAGTTAACCAAGTACCTAATAAATAAAACTAATAGCATTTGAATACCACTTTAAATATTCTATCACTGATAAAAGTGAACCAGAATTCAGAGACAATTACCAATGAACAGGCTTAAAAAAGGAGAATCAAGCAAAATTAAGGATATGCTCTGTTATCAATAACTATCCACTAAAACCCGACTGAAATAAAGGATAGCATGCCACCCTGTGAATTGTTAAAATGTGTAATGACAAATGTAGTTTTGTGATATACGCATTCTTGTGTGCTTGTTTCAGGGATCCAAATGTATGTTCTCTATACTGAGACTAGGACGTCCAAGTCTCACGAAAAAAAATTAAAAACATGAAAATAATTCCAACCAAATTCAGTTACAATACCAATTTCAATTTCCCCCCAAATCATATCATAATCATATTTCTACACATTTTTTTGTTGAAAATCTGTGTATGTGCACTGTTCTAGTATATAAATAATTAGTAGTAGTAGTGTGAATGTCATAATTTTGAACAGCTTCTATGCAATACGTATCAAAAAATATTTGGAGTAAATATAAAGTCTTATTAAATTACCTCTGTTTGCAATATCTTTTCATTCTCAATTACATAATATACATTAGACTGCAGTGCATTATAATCATACAAATAATAACATTCATCAAATCCCTGTCACATATCTCAAGTCCTTGGATAAAACACACCTTATCCTGTAGTTTGAGACAGGCCAACCATTAAGCTAATCCTTTCAAGTTCCTACATTTGTTGTGTTATTGACTGGTGGATAAAGCTGCTGCAGGAAACATCTCAACCATATAACATCATCCTAGATTAATATTTCTTTTTTTTTTTTTTTTACCCAATGGTACCAGATTTGACCATGTCAAACCAAGCCAAATGCCAAGGTGTGCGCACAGCCATTGCCCAGGTGAAAAATTAGAAGCATGGAGAACATATTTTCCTAACTCTGTATATGTTTTCCTTCAACATCTGTGGTTTTCCTGTACTGGAGCCTAAAACACAGCTTTAAACCCGTGTGTGTGTGTGGGGGGGGGGGGGGGCTGTGGATCCTGAATGGTACAACTAAGCCAAACAATCAAACATTTCAGAGCACAACCTGGAGCATTTGGGATTAGTTTATTATGGTACGATTGG